TACAACTAAATGTATTCTCCAGGAATTTATTGCTTACCTCTTTCTTTATCCTTCAGTGACAATAAGAGACAATGACCTCCTCCTGCAGCTCCTGGAGGAGTTTCCCCACCTGCACATTTCCTCCCATACTCTGGAGAAAATGTGGCACCAGCAGCTGGCACAGACTGAGCACCTCAAGGCACCCTCTGCCAGACCTAGACCAAAACTGCAGACTGAAGTGAGTGTTGTCATTCTTACCTGCTGAATGCCAGCAGAGATGCCCTGACAGGGCTCCTGCACACCCACAGCAGTGTGGGAGGATATTCTGGGAGCTTGGTTAAATAGGGATGTACAGATTTACACACACAGGTTCAACTTTTCATCAGCCACTTGAGTCCTGTGGTCCTTCTCTGATAATGGTTTCTTGAGTACTGCCTAGAGTTGCTATTTCTGTTTTTAAAGCATTTTGAGTTTTCACTGCTAGTTCTGACCAGTCTTTTAGTTTAAAAGTGAGTTATGAGATGCAAAAGTTGATTAACTTAGACAAGGTAACAACCCAAACCCCAAAACATAGCAGAGGGCAATATTTAAACCTGCTCCATAGGACAGCTTGTCCTGCAGCATGATGCAAGTAATGAGCTTTTTTTAAACCTCCAGGTTGAACAAGCCTTGAAGAAACATGAGCTGCTTGCTGCAATTATCAAGAGAGATCAAGATCACAGCAAGAGACTGGTATGTTCTTTGAAGACTGTTTGTTACATAATGCAGACATTTCACATGGAGCTAAAATGCATATTCCCACATCGTGCAAGTGGCTTTTTGTCTTGTGACAACTTTATGCTTTTTGAGTAGCTGTGGTCTCAAAATGCCACATAATCTGTTTGTTGTGCAGCTCCTGGGGTCATGGGAATGGAATATTATTATTATTACACTGCAGTGTTGCTCTAAAAGGTAAAAAAGTGCAAGGAGGACAAACTTGAGGTTGTGTTGCAGCTCCTGTGGCAGTGACACCACTTCACTACTCAGTGCTGGCTAACTTCACACCTTAACTGCAGAGCTGGGCTGTGGAGCAGTGTCGCAGACATTTCTTCATAGAAATCCTTTCTTTGGGATTTGTCCATCTTCTGGGAAGCAGAGCCCCAGAAAAAGAATGTAAACAAATTGTTATGGGCTGTTGTGAAATGTGGCAGGTGATCCTGTGATTGGCTCATCTTCCATGTGTACCATTAAGGGCCAATCACAGGAGCAGCTCAGGGGAGATTCCCTGAACACAGAACTTTGTTTTTCATTCCTTCTATTCTGTTCTTAGCTTAGCAGCTCTCTGCAAGCTCTCTCTTTATTCCTTCTAGTATAGTTATAATGTATTATATATTATATATCAATAAATCCAGCCTTGTGATCAAGGAACAAGATTCTCATCCTTCTCTCACCACAGTGACTGCCTCAGGTCGCTGTAACAGAGCAGCTCCTTAGTGAAGGACCCTGATTAGCAGTGATGAACAAAGCTTTGCCTGCAGGGTGTCTGTGGGCAGTGGGGTGCTCTGACAGCTGCTGCTCTCCCTCTAGCACGAGATGAAGCAGCGCATCCAGCGGCAGAGGTGGGCTCAGAACAAGGTGACGGAGCGGCGGCAGCAGGCGGCGCGGGCCAGGAGATACTGCGAGGATTACCGGGTGCAGCTGCGGGCCAGGCTGCTGCGGGCCCGGGCACGCCACGAGAGGGTGAGCACTGAGCTCCAGGGCCCTGCACGGTGCAGTTCTGCCCTGAGGGTGAGGGTGAGCTCGGGCCGTTCAACGCTTCACCAAAGCACAGAGCCAGGATGCAGGGGCTGAGCAGTCGAGGGCACAGAAATGGTTCCAGCTCTGGAAACGTGGATCCAGTGCAGGGCAAACCACCGTGAAACAAGAAAGGATGATTTATGGGGCTAAGGGGAGAGAAAGGGTGAAGTATCAGTGTGGAAAAACAGGGCTGGTAACATGAGAAATTGGGGAAATGAGTTTTCAGAAACAGTAGGATTAAGAAGTTGTTCCTACAGTCACCATCCAAAGAAAACAATCTAAATCTTCAGTTGAGAGAGCTGATCAAACAGGCAGCCTTGTTATTCAGTTGTGTTTGTAAAACAAAGTGGACTTTGTGACTGATCTGATCTAATTAGGGCTGGACATGAGAGAGAGGGAAAGCAAAGAGTTATTACAACTCTGCAAGGACAGATACACAGTTGTCACCTTTCAAAATAAAAGATCAGAAGTTTAATGCATAATCCCCTGGTAAGGATTTGAGAACTGTTTGCCTGAAGCTGTGAGCTACAGCTGGTAAGAGTTCTTGTGGAGGAATGGAAAGGCTGAGTCCAGGCTGGATTTCCTGCTGCTGGAAACCTGGATGCAGGTCCTGAAGTCAGACTGCAGAGTACAGGGTGGGTTGTAAATCACAGTGCATGTTCAAAGGCCCTGGCTTGCACAGTTGGGTCATCTGACTAAACTGACATGAAAAATTATTTTATCTATCAAAATTTCAGCTAAATGAGGAATACAAATCCAGCTCAGCTGTATCTGCACCACCATTTCTAGGTACATAACTGTGCTTTTTCATGGGCTATCCTCATGTAAACACCATTCCGTCAGGAGCTAAAGCAGCTGAGAAATGTAAATGTATACTTACAGGTTCCTGGGAAAGTTTCAGGTTTGCTTTTTTTAATTGCTGGCAGATATTTAAAAAGTTATTTGAAGAAGGCTTGGAAATTCAGAAGCAAAGACTGAGGGAGCTGAGGGTTTATGCTCGAGAGAAGCGCGATGAGCAATGGAGGGAGCACCAGGCTGAGCTGCAGTCCCTGGAGAACTACTACAGAGATCAGGTAAAGCTTCAGCTGCATCAGCCACATCATGTTTTTCCACTTAGAAGTCTTTCTTTAATTAGTTCAACTCACACATGTGTTGTTTAGTTCTCCATGCTAGCAGAAGCTCTATCTCAAGAATTCCAAGAAATCCAAACCAGAGAGAAGGCACAAGCACAAGTAAGTACTCCCAATTTTTTCCAATTGCCTTTTCTTTCTACCTGCTGTGGCTAATGTCAGTATTTTCTTTAGATGCTACAAAAATCAAAAAAAGAAGTGAGATCAAAGATGGAGAAGGAAATACAGCAGCTGCAAGCAGCAATCATGCACAATGATGATGACACCTTTTTTCAAGAACTGGAGGCAGACAGACTGAGATCCAGGCTTCAGATGGCTTCCTTCCAGTACAGCCAAAGCCACTTCTTTTGACTTGGGTAAATGTCACTGCAGCCCTCCTGGCTAAGATGATCAGTCTCTGGGTGTGAGGCTGTTTTATTTCTCTAACATATCTGTTGTGTCATTCTGACCTGTCAGGAGTGGAGCTGCTGGGGTCTGGGATCTCCACAGCCCTTTTATGATCACCAATAAAATTTCTGAACTGCTTTTTACCTTCCTGGCCAGGCTGGGGTGATGTTGGGCTCCACCAGAGGAAGCTGGGATGAAGTCAGAGTGCTTTAGTGAAGTTTTCCTGGTGGAACACTTGGAGGCTGAGGCTCCTCTGCATCTGTGCTGGGGCTGTTGCTGCTAAGCCAACCTGACACCATTAGCCAGAAATCATGGATTGGAAAGCTCACAAAGCACAAGAAGATCTTTGAAAGAACATCAGAGGTTCAGGTTTCCTGTGAAAGGCCAAGTTAGAGAATTCCTGCAATAAACCTGACATAAGTAACTGGGAATTTAAATACATCAAGCAAGGGAGGATTCTTCCACTCCTGCTTCAGTTGTATTCACAGGGTTGGTGTTGCTGGCTTGGTAAAATACAAAGGCATAGAAAATACTCTTTGTATGCCACAAATGCTCTGGGAAAAGGAATTTGAAACAGAAAACAATGCAAATTCTTCTAAAGCTGTGCATGATGAGCCCCTGCAGGAGGTGAACCCTGGGAAGGAGCTGTGGCCAGCATTCCTGATCTTCCACAGCCCACACTCACAGTGCAGCCTGGTTACTCCATCGTCACACTGACACAACCAGAGTTAAAAAATTATTAAATATTTCACCAGTCAGCTTTGACCTTACTTCAGGCTGTAATTTGTGCTTCCAGGAGAGCAGGAGCTGCCAGCAGGCCCTGCACTGGTGTACATCTTGCAGAGCTATAAACAGTGCAGGGCCAGCAGGAAATCCAGGGCTCAGCAGCCAAACACTGGGGAGGTGCCAGCACAGAGGGATGAGGGCTTGAACTGAGAACAATTACATAAAACCAAGCTGATATTAATGAAGTTCATTACTGATATAGCCTGGCTGACAAAAGTGCAACTCTAATTAGTTTTTCTTGGTAGTAGAATAATTCTTGCTTAAAATTGCTGTGAGAGAAGCGATACAGGAATGCTGGATTTGACTGCACTGTACATACAATATTCCAAGGTTGCCATGAGGGGGTGTCTCTGATGGAACTGACACCACAGAGCATCCACACTCATTCACTGAAAAAAGAGCTGAACAGGAAGAAAATCCCCCAACATCTGAAGGAGCTTCTTTTACAGATTAAACAAAGCAGCAGCTGTTACAGCATGAGACACCTCACTGCAAAAATGCAGACCCAAAACCTCCCCACAAAACCAGAAACACAAAACCCTGACCTATCCAAACCTTTTCAGGGAATTGCTGGAAGCCTGGCTAAGTTGAAGCCTTTAAGGGACAATATTTATTACCTAAGTTGATGAATTTTAGCAAGTCTTTACCAAATTTGCCTTGATTTCCCTCCAGGAGGATGGTGCAGCTTTGCTGAGGTTTGAGAGCAGGCTGTTCGTGTGCTCTCAGTGCTGAGATTGAGCCCTTGGCAAGCCAAGGCAGTGCCTGAGCCAGAGCTGCTGTGTTTGAGCAGGACACTCAGCACATCCTCACTGCAGGTAACAGCACCTAGGACGGCACCAATTTCAAGGATTTTTCTCCTGAAACAAAGTCGAGTTACTTAAAAATGACATTGTTACATTTTAAAGATTTAATTAAGAAAAACTTCAAACTTTTAAAACCATCGATGCTGTGACAGTGCAAACAGCATACAATTTATTGCTCAACTTCTGCATGGGTACATACATTAAGTACTTAAAAACCATTTTATACAGATTTTTTTTTTTGTTAAAGCTCATGTAACAGCTGGGTGAAAATACAATGATACCAATGCTAAAACACTCTGTAATAAATACAATGGAAATGATAAACTAAGAACTGTCAGTTTGTGGAGGAGTAATTACACTTGTATAAACTAATTACAACTACAGACAAAGAACTGAGGATGTGCAGAGCCAGGAACCTACTACATAGTGTAAAGTACAACAAATGGCACCTGTTAAGTGTGTGGTGCTGTTTAAAAAGATGCTACATCGAGCTGGAGGATGGTGCTGTGACAGGAGCAGAGCTTGAACTTCCACCAATGCAGCCTTTTAAACACACCAGGAGTTCAGTACACATGTAGTGTTGTGGAACAGGAATTTCAAAACAGCTTGTGTGCTCTGGACTTTAGTACAACACAAAAATTTGGTACAAATAAATCAGTTTAGGGAAACTGAACCTATGTGCAAAAAAAAAAAAAAAATTAGAATACATACTGTACAAAGCACCATTACAAAACTCTTTACACCGAGAAATTAAATCCTCTGAAACTCAACTGTGAACTGTATATTTGAAATCTACAAAAGTCACTGTTCATAATTAAACATTCATAATGAAAAGCAACAGCATAAAACCATGATGTGACATCTCTCTAAAACAACCAAAGACTGGATAAAGTAAAACCCAGTAAGAGGGACACATTGAAATAAATATTCACATTAATCATGGGGTGAAAGTCCAAGGTTAAAATGCAATATTAGGCTTAGCACCTTTTTGAGGGGAAAGTAGCTGACGTGTTCTTGAAACAAAATTTTGGAAAGGAATCAACCCTTTACCACTTTCAGATAAACATCTGACTGGGTGATGAGGTGCTTTAGTTAAAGCTCTCAGTCTTTATGAAGGTAGAAAGGCACTCAAAATACTTGGTATATTCATCCTCATCTGTCAGCTATGGAAAGTTCAATGCAGATTTGTCTAGTTTTGCCTATAATATATTAAATTTACAATATCTGTAGCAGTTAAAAAAATTCTCAATGCCATACCAAAATGTTTAGTAGAAAAACAGATGTACTGCTAAGGCTGCTGTGAAAATGAATGTAATTATCAGCTGATCTCAGCTCTCTGTTCTGCAGAGCTCATCTCCTCCCTCCCCAAAGGTGCTTTTGTGACAGCAAGGTGACCATAACCATGCATTCAATAAACCCACCAAATTTCATATTTGCCATGGTCCATGCCCAGGGAGGCTGTGGCCACAGGCTGGGCAAACACAGGGGCTGAAACAAAAAACCAAACCTTTAAAAAATCACTTGTGTCAGTTCCATGACACAAGGAGCTGTCTGTGAGAGCCCTGCAGCAGCCACTGAGCCTCAGAGCTTGGGCAGGGCTGGGGACAAAGCCAGGGCAGGAACGTGCAGGGAGGCACCAACAGCTGCCCTTCCATGGAGTGCAGGAGCCCACTGAAAAGAAAGGGAAAGGGAAAGGGAAAGGAAAAGAAAGAAAGGAGAAAGGAAAAAGGAGAAAAGAAAGGAAAAGGGAAGGAGAAATGCAAAGAAAAGGCTCTGCTGTGTTTCCAGCCTGGCTGTCCCAGCAAGTCTCCTGGCTTTCTGTTTCCATCCCTAAGCAGCCTCATCCTGCAGCCAGCCCAGAAAGGGAAGCAAAGTCCCCTGGAGCAAAGCTGCCAGCAGCAGCTGTACCACAGAAATAATCACACCAACGTGTGGCTTTGGCTCACCAGATTCTCACCACAATTCTATAACAGCTGTCCCTTGCCCACCATTCCAACACACAACATCCAGGAGTAGTTTACTCACTGTGGCAGAGCAGGATTTCGTTTAAGCTGCACAGAACAGACAGTCAATGGCTGGTTCACTGTGACTGACACTGCAAACATCAACAGCTGCTTACATCCCATCCCTTCAGCATTTTCAATACCTCTGATTTCTTCTCATTGGCAGTGAAAAAATAGTGCAGATTTGATGATTAATTGTAACCTAAGTTACAAAAACACAACACTGATTGGAAAAAAACTGCTACTTCTTCCAAATATTCTCGTGGCTGAGAGGAGAAGGGCACTGTCTCTGAAGCAGCCTGATTTATCCACACACCAAGAGCAGATCAGACAGATCTCAACTGAGAATTTCCAAACTAACATCAAAGTTCAGTTCCCTCTACTGGTAGTGCATTTTATTCCCCTTTGAAGAGATCAACCCATGCTATAAATCATATATATACTTACTTCCATCCCTACAATCAATAAATTATGTGCTCTTACAACCTCATTTCCAAAGCACATTACACATATTTCAGTCAATACACCATTTTTCCTTAGCTGTAACTTAAACCCACGTGTCATGAGCAGCTGGACAGAGATTACAATATGTTTTACCTGATAAATCTTTAGCATCAACAAATACAGAATATGATTTGGCTGCATTCAAACAAACTTTGGTTGACTGGACAGGATGGATTCTGGAACAAACTGCTGACAGGCTTCTGCTGGCAAAGCCCATCAGTGCTTCAACAGCTGAAAAATGCAGTGTTTCAATTTAAGGTCAAAAGCAACAAAAAGTACTCTTGACAGACTTGTTAGAAAAATGCTGTTTAAAAAAAAAATGAAAATATCTACTGTTCATTAAGAAAAGGTTATTCCACGTGTAAACACAAGGACTGTACCAAATAGTCTGTGTCACTCACTAGAAATTCTGCTGGAGGAATCTGACAAGTGATATAAATAGGACCCCAAAACATCATATTCGGAATTCCTGCTTGAAAAATATAAAAAAAGCCCCTGTGGCAACATTTACCTGGAATTTACATTGCAGAATATCATGGTTTACTATAAGAAAATGCAGTTAACATGTAAGTGGCTTTCATTAAAAAGATTAATGATTCTTTCAGCCAATTTTATGCAAAGTTAGAATAATCCAAAATATTTTTTTTTCCAAAAATAGCAGGTATAGATGCTGTTCAGTATCATACATTTAAAACAGGCTGAAACGTGACTTGTACCGACTGCTGAAGTTGTGTCTTGGTATCTGAGAATAGAAATCAGGTAGGCAAATATAATAGATTACCTCTTACAAAAATAGTAGTAGTCTTTAAGTATAGAATACTGCTTAACTGTTGAAATGTAGGAAAAGTCAGCATTCTGTATGTTCAAGATATTAGTTTTTAATAGCAGCTGAATGATCCTATGGCAGGAACCACAGAACCTATTTTCTTGAAATAAAAAACTTTAAAAATTAAAAACAAAAAAAATCCAAAAGTTGTCCTTTCCCTCCCAATGTCCTAGTGTAGAAAAGGGAAAGTTTCCTGTATTTCAAGCATTTCTTGAGTCTTGGCTGAGGGAAGGAAGGGCTTTCTGGCTGACAGGAGTATAAATAGAGTGTGGGAGAGGCTGGCAGGGTCATTCCACAGCAAAGCCACAGGTCTCCTCGATGGCCGTGAGCAGCTTCTCGTAGAGCTTCTCGTAGCTCTCGTAGGCAGGAATGTCGATCCTGTTGAAGCTGGGGGGAAGCACAAGCACAGAGGGTTCAGCTCTGCCCCACCTCACCGAGCTGCACATGCTGCCAGCAGGGCTGGAGTAAAGAATGAGGCCCCCCAGCTCCAGGAAACAAAATCCAGATTTCACACCTCTAAGGGACAGCTTTGATTGTGTCACAAAAGACAAAAGAAGTGAGACTGCTCCAAATGCTCTGACAGCAGATTGGTCTTCAAGCTACAGATCACAAGAGAGAACTGAGAAAGCCTTACCAGGTATGAGCTTTAGGCAAATTATTAGTGCTGGCATCGATCTGGTGTATTGTGAAGAGTCGTGGGCCTGCAGCACCTGAAAACCCAGAGGAATAACATGAAATGGCTTTGGTGCACTGCAACAACAAGAGAGCAACTAAACACAAAGAGAAGCTCTGCACCAAGGAAGATGAAATCATAAACAGGCAGGAAAAAACTGCAAAGTCCCAGTGGCTGTGGGACAGACTCCTCCTTGCCCACCCAGACAGCCCTGCAGTTATTTAAAGGAAAGGTAAGGAAAAAAACACTGATAAGGAAGAATAAATCAGCTTTTTCACTCAGTGTACTGCATAAACCCAACAAGTTTTTAATTTCTCTATCTCACCCCTCCTATAGAACAAAACTGCACCTGTCCCTGTTTTATAACTTAAAGAGTGGCCAATTCCACTGAAATCCCACAGTGTCACAATGTCAATTCCTTATAATTTTATTAAATTAATCTGACTACTAGAAATTCCTTTAATGTCTCTGCTAAAGAGAAAAGACTGCAGCACAGCCATTGCTTAGACTTGGTCTGCACTGAAGATGCCACAAAGGACAGAAGAGGCTACAAATGTCCCAACCTGAGCAAAACTGGAATCCTGCTCTGAGCAGCCATTCAAAATACAATTCAGAGGGTCAGTGCTTCTCATGGGGACTCTGCTGTTAAACAAGAGCCTGAGCTTGAGTTGTGTTACTGCATTTCAGTCTAAAAGAGCTGTACAACTGATGAGGGCTTGTAAAAGTAGGAATGAAAACCCTGGATTCTGGAACCCCTCTAAGATCTGAGCTGATCAGAACCTCCTGCCAGAGAAGGGAGTGAAGAAATAAAAGCGCCATTTGCACCTGCTTAAGAAGGTACCACACAAGCACACAGAGAAGAGCCACTGATTGCAATCAGACACGAAAATGGCTCTGCAGAGGGCCCAGGGCAGCCGCGGCCCCACCTCGGCCGCTCCCGGCGTTACCTTGCAGTGCCTTGAAGCCCTGCAGGGGCACCCGCGAGGAGCCGGTCACGAACTGCAGCAGCCGCGCCCTCCTCTCCTCGTCGAAGAGCTCCACGGCCTTCCAGAACCACTTGACGATGTTGCTGTCGGGGGTGCAGTGTTTTAACCTCGTGTTTGCCTTCCAGTCGTTCACATCGATTTTTCCCAGTCCGCAAATGATGAGCTGTACATTTAAAATAGATTTATTATATTATTTCATCACTTGGTTTGGAGCCAAATTATGAAGAAATGACAGTGAAAAATGGACAGATTTTGTACCAAAGGCTTATAACTTCTCCCTCATCTTAAGCAATGCAGAAAAATACATTTCTTGGGTTTTTTTTTTAATTTTACCTCTGTACACAAACCATTTTTCAAATGGTCTCAATTCAAATTAAAAAGAACCCAAACAAGAGGGCCTTGACCAGTCAGTTAAACAGAAGCACAGACTGTAGCCCTGTATGACAGTGCAGGAATAATTCACATTTGATGTCAGTATTTCTTTAGGAACATGGCCCAGGGTGCAGATTGGCAGGTCCAGCTCTGGAGCCCCAGAAGGAACCTTGTTCCTGTGACACCACCCAAAGGACAGAGCTGACACTGACACTGAGCTTTCAGTGCTCCTGAAGGGAGATCCACAATGGATTGGGTTCAGTTCAGGCAGGATGTGATCATAATTCTGAAGACATTTTTATGATTAAGAACACTGGACCTTCCCCTTTCTTATTCTACAGCTGCAAAATGGTTCAGGGTTAGCAGCATGGCTGCCTCACTGCTGGGAGTGGGAATATTTGGGATAAATGAGGAGCAATCACCACGTTCCAGCCCAGGGATCACAAGCACATGTGAATAATTTACCTGTGGCCATTTTACATGGCAAACCCCTCAACTCCACAGACTGCAATTCCATTTCAGTTTAAAACAAGCTTGGGATCTGTGGATTTGCCTTCAGAGAATATTGTTGGGATGCTGATCCTGACACTCTGTAGCACACTTATTTGTGACAGAACCCTTCCTTCTGCTGCATTTACAGGACCGATGGAGTTTGGCAAAACTGAGCTCTGCAAACCCCAGGTGCCTGACACCATTCAGGGCAGTGCTCTGAGGGCTCACAGCCTGTTCTGCTGGCAGCATTGAGTTTCACATGAGGAAACTGCCCTGGGAGAGCTCTGCACCAGGACTGATGGAGCAGAGAACAGCCCGAGGCCACTGCAGGTCCTCAGCAGGCTCAGAGGGTTTGAGCTGCAGGGGAGCTGTGCAGCTGCTGTGAGCTGTCAGCTCCAGGAACGGCCACAGCTCTCACGGGAGGCACACACACAGAGCCATGGTCCCCCTGAGCTGCCCTGCCCCATCCCAGGTGAGAGCACGCCAGGACAGCCCCGTGTTCCTGCAGCTCTGGGAGCCTCAGCACTGTGGGATCTCAGCACCTCAGGACTGAGGTGTCACCGAGAGCACCCTTGGGGGGCTCGGGAGTCCTGGAATGTTCCAGAAGTGTCTGGTGGCTGGACTTTGATCCTACACGGGAGACGACACCTGTATGAGGACAGGAGGATTTCACCGGGGTGAATGGTGAAGGGATTGGTTAATTAGAGGGTGAAACACAGGGTTTAGGATTTCTGTACAGAGGGGTTTAGAGAAGTAAGATGGAGGAATTGGGGCGTGTCCTGTCCTTCTTCTTCTTCTCCATCTTCTGTGGTGATGGTGGCACTTTGGGATTGGTCATTACTAAAAGTGCACCGGACAATAAAAATAAAAAGGATTGGGGAAAAATGATAAATATTGTACACGTAACCGTGGGTATAAAGATAGGTGACTGCCCGGAGGGCTACACAGTGTGCTCATGGCTGGCTGCTGAGCAGAGCTCTGTCGGGCCGAAAGAAAATCTTTTAGATAAACATTTAATAAACATTAAGACAGAAAGAAGAACTGAAGCCTCTTCTCGTCCTTTGATACGCGGGCTGCCCCAAGGCCACCCCGGGCCTTTCCAGGCCCTTCAAACAGCCGAAAACCGGACACAGCACAACGCTGCTGCACTGACCTCCAGCTCCTTCTCATCGAATGTCTTCAGCAGATGTTGTGGGATTACTTCATTAAATCCCTTCTGGAGCGCCAGAAACTGAGCTTCAATTCCTCGTAAAAACCGCCAGTTCACATAAAGCCTGTGAGCAAGTGCAAATTGGGTTTGTGGAGGATGTACTCAAATACAATAGAGCTGCAATTCCGTTTATCCAGCCCCAAACCACAGCCCCACTGACAGGATTACAGCAGAGCCCTGCACAACCCCACAGCACAACACTGACAAGACTTTAACAGTGTAATTGTTGAAGTAAATCCAGCATTCCAATACCACTTCTCACAATTTTAAGCAAGAACTCTTCTACTACCAAGATAAACTAATTAAGAGTTGCACTTTTGTCAGGCAGAGGAGACTGTATCAGTAATGGCCTTCATTAACAGCTCCTCCCCAGTGTAGAAAATCGAAAAAGAGCCTGGCAAAAGCTGCTGATGTACCTGACATATTCCTTTTTGTTCTCCTCAGTCACGGGGATGCTTTTGCCGTTGGGTTTCAGCTCGTGCTGGATGATCTCCCCGTAGGCGTTGTGCTCCACACAGAACGTGTGGTCCAGGACCCCGGTGATGTCGTTCTCACTGGGGCAAAGAAAGCAGCAAATGACTGAGGGAAAACAAATTCTGCAAATATATTACAGCCGTGTTCTATCTGACAGAAGCACAATTTCGTTTTTCAATGGCATTTCGAAGTCATGCCTGGATGTAGAAGGTGAACATACCATTTTACTATGTTACATTTAAAAACCTTTATCAAAGTTTCACTATTATATTTTAAAAGTTTCACTATTGTATTTTAATAACCTGTCACTGTTAATAGATAAAATTAATAAATTTTAACTCCACACTCCTCCCCCCTAAAATCTGAGTAGCTTGAGCATTTTTAGCCTTAAAGAAGCTGAATTGTGTGAGAGATAGTTCTTAAATCTGCCTGAGGAGGAGATCAAAATACACCTCATTTCCAGGATTTAGGACCATTATCACATAACAGAGACAGCATTCTAACATCCTGAGGCACCCTACAGAGCACATACAGTATCCAGACTAAGCTGTTATGGAGATCAGGGTCCACCAATTCCATGTCATCCAGAGTAATTGGCTTCCCAAGCAGCTGCTTGTAGAAAGGCAACGTGAAGCCGCCGTCAATGTAGTGCCCGTGGAACACAGCCATCCCCATGATCCTGCCCACAAAGTGGAAATAGGACAAGTGTTCCTGGAACAGAGCAGAGACAAGGCCACGCTGCTGAGTGACTCCTCCACTGCTGAGCACGAGACAAAATTTCAACACCCAGAAAAGAAGAAAACCCCAAGCCCAAACCATGTGCAGAGGTTTTGTTTTGTTTCATGGCACACTGAGCATTTCACTTCCAGTCCAGGAGTCTTACAAGTAACAATCAAACTGAATTTCTCCCAAAGGAATCATAAATTGACATCTGACAGAAAATTAAGAACACATTTGCGAAGCTTGATCAGTGCAAAAAAGAAACCATCATATAATTGTACAAATTCAGTGTCCAGCAGTGGCAATGGTAAGAATTTGGCTCCTGAGTGTTGAGCCCTGCCCAGGTGAGTGTTTGGTTCTCAGCCCTACCGGGTTGACGGCGGAGTCGGGGTTGATCTGCAGCGTGTAAATGTCATCCCGCGAGTACTGGAAGAGCCCATAGTAAGGATTCAGCATCTCATGGGACAGCAGGTACAGCCACTCCCTGGAAAACAAAAGCTTCTATTGCAACTCTAGAGACAAATGCATTCTGACACTGAGAATCATTCCAAAAGTCTGATTTTTTAAATCTTACTATTAAACATAAATGTGAAGGAAGTTATCTCTGAACATGCTGAGATATGGCTGAAATCAGAATTATTTTTGCTAGCTCAGTAACCACACAACACCTGACAGCTGTCCAAGATTTTCCTTCAGGTTACTCATGTCCAGGAGAGTTTCTGACTGTGATTCTCCTACATCCATTACACACAAAGACAAGACATTATGTATTCACTTGAATAGAAAGATGTTGGAATCAAAGCTTTTGATATAAATCATCTTTAAGGTAATGGATATATTTAGCTCAAGTTTTAATTATGTGTTCACAAATCAGTAAATAATGGTCTGACAATTGGGAATGTCATTTTTTATAAGGGAAAAGTAACCTTAGACTATTGACAGACTGAAGCTGCCCACCAACTGCTGGTGGCAACATTTTGCTTCAAACAGCAGTGACAGTTTGCAGTAAGGCGTATTTTTTTGTTAAAATTGTGCATAAAGACAAGTATTTAATGGTATATATTCTCAGATACCCAAACTTCACTAACCAAAGAAAAATATGTTAATTTCTATAGATACCAAAACCTCTCACATATGACAGATATTTGACATGATGAGTAATTTGCATTTTATTTTCAATAAATTAGTCCTTTTTTTTTGAAGCATTTTTTCTTTTACAATGCTACCTAGAGCCATATGTTCTTCTGACATTTAATCTGTTACAGAAATAAAAATAAATGAGAATAATACAAAAGAAGCTGGGCTGGCTGAGGATTCAAAGCCCAGGGGAAGGACAGAGGAGCCACTGTTTACCTGGCCACACCTCCATAATCAAGGCCCTCCTCCCCACGGAATTTTATCATCAATCGTTTCCACAGGTCCTTTGGCCTCATCTTCATGACTTGCCTGTAGGATTCCTGTAAACACACAACACTTCCTTTTATTAACTGCTGCTTACAGAGTAAAAGCTGCTGCTGGCTATTGGAAGTGAAGGGAGTTTCAGACTCGGAACACTCTTAAAGGGGACATTATTTTCCTGATCTTCATCAGTTTCTCAAATCACAGATTGTTTCTTCATTTTCTCCAAATGTGACAACACTTGTCAAATTAACTGATGAGAAGCTGAGAAGAACCACTTCCCATTAAATTTCCAGGGGTGAGCAGTGATCAGAGCATTGTCCCACATTCTCACATTACTGATACAATTTTTTTGTAAGTTAACTTCTTTTGTTTTCCATAAGGGCTCCTGGTTTTTGCAGCCTGAAAAGCCAAGAGTGGAGCTTGTACTCTGGGTAAAACAAATGTGCCAGCCTCCAAGAAGCACCTCAAGAATGGAATCAGCAATGCCATCTCAGTAAATCCACAGGATTATTCCTCTGTCAATAAGTGTTCACCAAGGAAACACAGAAAGCAAGTTGAAAGGGAGAACAAATGCAAAGGAATTAGAGAAAAAAGAAAAGTCTGGTTCTTATTTATGTCCAGTATCAGCCCAAGCTCTGCCTCTGCAGGACAGAGGAGGCAGGTGGGTGTGTGGGGACCCAACACACCAGACTGAACAAGAACATCTTAATTCTGCAGCCCTCCCTCCCTTCTTTCAGTTGCTGACAAAGTGATCTGACTCTCCAAAGGGAAGACCAACACAAATCTTTCTTGGCTGGGAAAAATTGTGACAACACAGTGGGGAGATCAAGTTTGTGGGTGGGGTAAAAATGCAACAGGGATGGGTGGGATGGGTGAAAGTCCTCAAAAGGACAAACTGTTCTCCAGAAAAGGCCAATGAATTATAAATGTGTTTAGTCAAGTCAATATAATGATTCTGCTGAATCAGAATGCTGAATTCCCAAACAGAATGCAGAGACCCCACTGTGGGCATCTCTGGCCATTCAGAAGCCCAGACAGGTGTAAAACTGATCTGATTGTGGAGAGAGAATTCCGATCAATGATAAGAAATCCAAACTCTGAAGAGGAATCCTTTTCAGTAGTAGTTTTACTTAAGTTACGCTGCATCAGAGATCACTAATAACAGAGCTGAATTTTTAACATCCCCTCTACAACACTCATCAGCTTCTCAAACACACGGAAGGAGGGAGACGGGATTGTAAGAAGTGCTCAGACCCCTTCCCCAGTCCCTGACATGGGCTGCACATCTCCAGGCACAGAGAAAGTTTTCCTTGATTTAGGTAGAGACATCTGTGTCAATTACATGTCAGTGCTGGCATCCCTGTCACCACAGTGCTGGCATCTCCTCACCGTGGTGAGGAGAATGGCTCCTCCTCACCACGGTACAATCCCAGTTCCAACTGCAGCCCCCGAGGTTCCACC